ACAATACTTTCACCTCTCCTATGGTGCCTGGATTGAAGGTTATGCTGATGACTTGGTGATCGCAATCCGAGGTAAATACGACACTATCATAACCAAACTACTGCAGAAAACCCTCATACTTACTAGCACTTGGTGCAGAAGCAATGGGCTCAGCATTAATCCAAACAAAGTCGAAATAGTCCCTTTCACTCGGAGAAGGAAGCTACAATTGAAAGCACCCTCCATTGAAGGCAGAACTATTAACCTCAAAACCGAATTCATATACCTAGGAGATACAAAACACAAAACGGCACAACAACAGCTGGCACAAATCCAGCGGTTAGCATGTCTTAATATAATGGGTGCAATGAGATCTTGTCCAACGGCTGCTCTTGAAGCCCAACACGGTCTCACACCATTTCATTTATACATACGGAAGAAGGCAGCTTTAAGTGTCTTATCACTGAAAACATGCTCTTCACTCAAGTTGATGACGGGAACTTCGGAGGACACCGAAATCCTCAAGGTCCCATGTCTAAACTACTTGATTGAAATTAAAACTGACCTTATACCGACAGAATATAATGTGGACCAGTTGTATAAGGTCATATTTAGAAGCAGGGATGATTGGGCGAAGGGTGAGCCTCAACTTATCTTCTGGTTATTTTCTGACTGAGGGAGTATCTGTGGCGGCAAACACCACAGCCAACCTTAACTTTGAAATGTAATTATGTAAATTGTAACTATATAAATATTATTATATACATATTGATGTATATATCGATTTGGTCATTAAAAAGTTCCCCAGCTCGCAGTAGTCGTCCTTTCAAAATTCTTCCATAGTTACAATATTTTTGTTAATTTTACTGGCACACCTAAAAACAAGTTTTATGCCGATTCAGTAGAGTTCGCCAAGTATATCAGTATATCCAAATTCGGCTTTTTTTCTACACTGTAAGGAATTCCAGTGAAAATTCCGATTCACCACGCTTGAAGGTACCTACCTAAACACACAAAATATCTATTTGACCGAAAATCAAAATATGTAGGTAGAAATCAATGAAGATACATTTCTACGTAATATAAGCTGTACGAAAATTAATACCAATTTACCGTGCGAATATCAATCAATATAACATTACTACATGTTCTAGGTCATGTCAAATAAAATACTCCACGACTATTAACCCAATACGTCATTGCTAATTACAAACTTCGTTTTGCCTTTTTTACAACTGTTGTATTTTCAATTTTAAAATGACTCTACTTTNAGCGCCGTATTATTTGCAACGTTTGAAGAAAAAATACTATGTTTTATTCGGAAGAGAAGCAGATTCGTTTGTGGCTGGTCCGTCATTGCCGGACTCACTTCGTTCGTCCGGCAAACTGTCGGACACGCCACAATTTTAACGGCTCATCTGTCATTAGCGACAGACCACGCCATAAAAAGCACTGCTTCTCTTCCATATAAAACAATATACTATTACGTCCTGTTGACAAAAAACTATCGTTTTGACGGTCGCTAAGTACTACGCAAAAGTCAACTTTTAATAGCAGTTTTCGAAAAAATTGATAAATTGACTTCTGTCACTAATAGAATAAGTCAAGTTTTGCACAAAAATTGCCTTTTCAATGGAATTAGATAAAATTTTGTACTTAACACATTATGAAACGGCTAATTTTGCTTAACGAATATTGCAAATATTACGTTCGTCAAACAAAATTAATCTTTTCATTAATTACGTAAATTGGTATTAATAGTTTGAACTTGTCACTTTGATAGTTTTCCAGCAAATTTAGCTTGAAACCTTTGTTTTGTTTGTGTAGTAAAGAAACATTTTGTTGGATATCAAAGTTATGATTGTAGATCAACATATGTCTTCCAAAATTAGAATTATAGAATTTANGTGAAAATTCCGATTCACCACGCTTGAAGGTACCTACCTAAACACACAAAATATCTATTTGACCGAAAATCAAAATATGTAGGTAGAAATCAATGAAGATACATTTCTACGTAATATAAGCTGTACGAAAATTAATACCAATTTACCGTGCGAATATCAATCAATATAACATTACTACATGTTCTAGGTCATGTCAAATAAAATACTCCACGACTATTAACCCAATACGTCAATGCTAAATACAAACTTCGTTTTGCCTTTTTTACAACTGTTGTATTTTCAATTTTAAAATGACTCTACTTTAAGAAACTAAATACCATAGTAATATTGTGTAAATATATGTAAAATACTTGCCTTACTAATTAATTACAATAGCAGATTTCTTGGAGAAAGCAAGATATTTCATAATGGGTTTTGGTTCACCCATTTGTGATGGTCAGTATTTGGCATTAGATAATGAATTTTGTGATAAAAAATTAACTTGCATTTTTAAATTAGGGAAAATATTTGCAGGTGACATTTGTACTTTACAAAAACATTACGTGATTTTGCGTCCACATCGTATTCAACACGTCAAAGAAATCCAAGACAGATTTCACCATAAAAAAAATAAACTTTGTTAATTAAAACATACTAAATTTATTTAACAATATAAATATCTCTTTGATTAGTCATTTGAAGCGGTCGAAAATTATTGATAAGGCCCTCGCTATTATTGTATAACATTCGAAATTTTTCCATTTCCAACATCGTTATTGATCTTGGTTTATAATTAACGATCCAAATAACGTTTTCGCTGCAGGGCGGTAACGTTAAGGACCCATTGTAGGTTACATATCGTTTATAAATAGGCGGTGTTAACAAAGAGATTGGAAAAGCGTAATCCAATTCAACTTCACCTGTAGGTACACTTGCCAACATTTCAAATGGTTTTTGAATAAGATCTAAGGCTAAATCACCAGTAGTTTTCTCCTAAAAATAAAAAGAAATAGCTTTATAGAATTATTAATGCCAATTTAAAATTTACGTTTATATTAAAAAGATATGATACTATCGCAATTCCATTTGGTGAATTTAACGCTTCAGAATACGAGTCATAATTATCATTGTAATGAACCGCTTGTATTTCTAAAGGAAATTTTTTTCCGTTTATCGCATGTTCACTTCCAAGATTATCGCTTTTTCCCCAATGAAATACAACGTGGTTGAAACGATACGGCTCTTCTAATGGTCCACCTAATAGTATTGGATAATCTTGTTCATATATTGGAAGGACCATAACTAAAATTTCGTTTCTTCTAAATTTGAGATTGCTTATAATAATTTATTTTTACGGTTAAATTTTCCTTTCGTTATTTTTGTTGTTAATGGTTTAATGAAGTAATTGGTCCTTGTAAATTTGGGAAATATTTCCTTTTTTGTTTGACGCATATTTATATCAATTGGCGATTGTAAACCGCCCGAACATCGATGATTTATTGAATACCATTTGTCTATATCTAATAATTTAAGTTTGTATTAAAATTATTTATTTGAAATTATATCGTTAACTTACTTCTATAACTGTATTGATGTAATTTCATCAAGGATCTTGATTCTGAGTCGTCATCAATTCCAAAAACTGGTTCTTTCAAAGATGAAGTTATAAAATAAAATAGGAATGCAAAGGAATTGAATTTTTTTAACATTTTGGATTTGTGTGTTGAGTTTCAGAAATATAAAAAAACAATGCAAATTGATTAAAAACCCACACTTTTAATTTTATGTCTTTTTTATTAAATATTAGCTAAATACTGTCCTGTATAACGTTTAGTACAAAATTTCATCTTAAAATACCTTATAAGTAACATTAATTTATTGTCAATATCCGATAAAGACATTGGGTTTTTCTTGCTGTATAAATTTATATAAATTCCTAGTACAACAAGTAATCCAGACCATACATACCTAAAAATATGATAAATTAAATAAGATAAAGATAATTTATTAAAAATTTCTTACTGGAATGTAAAAGGTCTACTAAAGAATAAAAATGATAAAATCATGGTGACAGCTTTTCTGCAAGTTGTGACTGTAACTGCAGCTAAAGCCCCGCTAGTTTTTACAAGTGTCAAAACAACTTGAATTCCTAAATAACCAGTTATTGAGAAAATGAATCCATAACCATAAGTTTCCATTGGATGCTAAAAGAAAGCTATTATTAATTATTAACATCAAAGGAGATAAAAATATAAACATTTTTACCTTCCCAAAAAATTGAATCCCATTTATTAATTCTCCAGTTAAACACATTATAAAAAATATATACAAAAATCCTATCCCATACGAATAAAAAACAACCTCTGCAGAAGATGCTTTTAACTTCTTCATTGATTTTTCTTGAACATTACCAATAACTGCATCACAAAGTAACGCCATTGAAATCATAAGAACACCATTTGAGTTAAAATTTGGATACATTTTCGAATCAGCTAATAATATAATGAATTAATTACTTTTCAAATATATAGATTTAAAATTTTTAGTTAATACCTCCAATAAACCAAGCTAATCCAACAGACATAAAAATTGCAGCACTAAAATCTAAAGGTCCATAACGTTTTCCTTGAATTAAAATACTTCCAATTAATACTGGAATTAATTTACAACATTTAAATATCACTTGCGTGGGATAATTTAAATAGCCTAATGAAGCGTTTGAAAATCCCATTGTGCCTAATGTTAATAAGGCTAATAATAAATAAGTTTTTATTGGGATTCTAAAAATTAAATCAGATTAGGAACAGGAATTTGACATATGTTTTGATAAATACCTCCTATTTGAAAGACTCCCTATATTTTCTAGGAACCCAAAAATGGTGTAAAAACCGAATTGTACTAATGTTAAAAACCATCCTTATGAAGAAAATCCTTCCAATGTAAAGATCAATTCCTGCATGTACCCATAAAGGATATAAAAGAAAAACACTGCTACTGAACAAGATATAAATTGTGTTGTCTGCGAATAATGGGTAATATCAAACCAAAGTATAGCAATTTTATTATTTTCCAATTGTCGATCATCAGTATTTATTTGTACATTTACAGACATTTCGTTGTTTAGGTTTTTNACACTTTTATTTTTATGTCTTTTTTATTAAATATTAGCTAAATACTGTCCTGTATAACGTTTAGTACAAAATTTCATCTTAAAATACCTTATAAGTAACATTAATTTATTGTCAATATCCGATAAAGACATTGGGTTTTTCTTGCTGTATAAATTTATATAAATTCCTAGTACAACAAGTAATCCAGACCATACATACCTAAAAATATGATAAATTAAATAAGATAAAGATAATTTATTAAAAATTTCTTACTGGAATGTAAAAGGTCTACTAAAGAATAAAAATGATAAAATCATGGTGACAGCTTTTCTGCAAGTTGTGACTGTAACTGCAGCTAAAGCCCCGCTAGTTTTTACAAGTGTCAAAACAACTTGAATTCCTAAATAACCAGTTATTGAGAAAATGAATCCATAACCATAAGTTTCCATTGGATGCTAAAAGAAAGCTATTATTAATTATTAACATCAAAGGAGATAAAAATAAAAACATTTTTACCTTCCCAAAAAATTGAATCCCATTTATTAATTCCCCAGTTAAACACATTATAAAAAATATATACAAAAATCCTATCCCATACGAATAAAAAACAACCTCTGCAGAAGATGCTTTTAACTTCTTCATTGATTTTTCTTGAACATTACCAATAACTGCATCACAAAGTAAAGCCATTGAAATCATAAGAACACCATTTGAGTTAAAATTTGGATACACTTTCGAATCAGCTAATAATACAACCAATTAATTACTTTTCAAACAAAAAGATTTAAAATTTTTAGTTAATACCTAAAATAAACCAAGCTAATCCAACAGACATAAAAATTGCAGCACTAAAATCTAAAGGTCCGTAACGTTTTCCTTGAATTAAAATACTTCCAATTAATACTGGAATTAATTTACAACATTTAAATATCACTTGCGTGGGATAATTTAAATAGCCTAATGAAGCATTTGAAAATCCCATTGTGCCTAATGTTAATAAGGCTAATAGTAAATAAGTTTTTATTGGGATTCTAAAAATTAAATCAGATTAGGAATAGGAATTTGAAATATGTTTTGATAAATACCTCCTATTTGAAAGACTCCCTATATTTTCTAGGAACCCAAAAATGGTGTAAAAACCGAATTGTACTAATGTTAAAAACCATCCTTATGAAGAAAATCCTTCCAATGTAAAGATCAATTCCTGCATGTATCCATAAAGGATATAAAAGAAAAACACTGCTACTGAACAAGATATGAATTGTGTTGTCTGCGAATAATGGGTAATATCAAACCAAAGTATAGCAATTTTATTATTTTCCAATTGTCGATCATCAGTATTTATTTGTACATTTACAGACATTTCGTTGTTTAGGTTTTTCTCAATTTATGGATTTTTCGTCTTATTAAATTTGGGAATGTTTATTTAATACTTTTTAGTTTGAGGTATATCATTATATAAAATCTTTTTTTTTGTTATACGTGTAAAATTTAATTTATAGAGGTTATGTTAGAATTGGTGTTATTTTGGTTGCATAAATAGTTGTCATTTAGGTCGGTAATGAAGTTTTTTCATCTCTTATTTTAAATTAAATAAATATTTAACTCAAAATATAAATGTGGTAAAACCTGGAAATACGGTTCTTCAATGTTGTTTTATATAAGAACACAAAAATTTTAATTTTCTTATTGTTCTAAATTGATGTCCACAGCGTTAACATAAAGTGTCCATATCTATACAGGCGTCCCATATCTTCCGGATCGCATTAAAACATGGATAACATTAAGATAATGGAATAGTAACATAATAACAATTATTATGTTATTTTAGTCGAATAAACTCTTGCTGTGGTTGTGGCTCAATTAAGAATACTCATACTACTTGTTTGTCTTTCACTGTAGTAATGTTATACTTGAAACTGGACACTCGGAAAATAATATGACCTTGTTGAAGCACAGCGAAACGTAACTCCAGTATAGAAAGGTGCATTAATGTACTGTGCCATGTTTTCCGCCAAATTATGATGTCTCTTTCGTCTAGCAACTGATGTTGGCTGTACGTTAATTGCCGATTTTCTTTTAAATCTTAAGGTGCTATTGCTTCCGGCAGTATTTAAAAAACTCTCCCATCCATACTTGGTTTGACTTTAATCTTGTAACAAACCTCTTAAAGCTTTGGGAGCTGGTACCAAAGGCTTTATTGATTTCTTTCATCAAATTAAGTATTGAGAAAAATCGATCGGCTGAGCATTTTCTCCAAATGCCAACTCGGCCATTAAATACCTTGATCTGTGCTGTCATTTGGAGCGTTTAAAGACGCTCCATATTAAATGCCTTATTTCTTGAGAGTACTATATCCTTAAATAATCTGACATTAATCTCGCTGAAATTATTTGTTTGATGCCGAAATCAAACAAATTCAACAAATTCTCGCTGAAATTGTTGTCGAATCTCTGTAAGCTAAACACCAATCTTATTTTCTATTCCAGTAATCTGTCAAATACTGTTTCCACAGAATCGGCAGTTAGAAATGCTGAATGAAATGTAGATTTGCTCGATTTTCTATGGAAGCGTCTAAAATGTTTTGAAACTGTTTATACAAATCTTTTTGAAGATTTTGTGGGTTGTCGTGTTTTTTCTTCTCCAAGCAGGTGATAATTTTTTCTAGTAGTATATAGCGCTCTGAAAGCAGTAAGTAGTCTTATGGAAGCAGTAGCTCGTCTTTACAATCAGTTTGTAGTTGTTTGTACCAAAATTACAAAACTGTACAAATACCCTAAAAACCCTAAAAAAGTTTTAACGAACCGATTACGTGAGATATCTGTATATACTGTGTACATAAAGTATGAAATCAATTCGATACAAATTTGAGGGATATTCTTCCAGAAAAAAATCTTGAATATTTATGTTATATTTTTTAACGTGCATTTTTTGAGATAAAATTGAAATGTACAGATGTCCCAAAATTGAGATACCATATGTTGACATTTTAAAATAGGAACCCCCATTTTTTGGTTGCATTTATGGATTCTAGGTAACTTCTGAGTATTTTTCATGTAGCTGTCTTTAAAAAAATAGTAGTTAAAAAATACGGTTATTATTTTATTTGCAATAATAGAGTAAACTACGCTATTCTCTGTTTCTGTGTTAATTTGTGACAAATGTTTAATAATGTAATGATAACCAGAAATTATGTTTTAACCCATAAGCAAATTTAGTATTAATGCTAAATACTAAAAAAAAAACATACTGTTTTAAAATCTTTTTATACCTATATTTATTTTACTTCGTCCTCATTGTGTTTTACAATTTCAATATTACTTACAATTGACGATAAAAAATTATTTCTTTCTTCATCATTTTTAAAGCAGAGAAGGCTTATAAGTTCCTCAGAAAAATCTGTATTATTCCTTGCTATGAAATGATGTTATAATTGGGTCTTCGTTTCGCCGCTAGAGGACTTTAAAGTTAGCAAAAAAAATCTTTTATTTTTTATAACTCGAAAACGTGTAAATCAATTGAAACCATTTTTCAGAAGTGAGTTCCTAGGTTCAATTAACTTTTCTTTTTATGATTTTTGATACAATTTTAGAAACACAGGAATGATGAAAAAATCATGTGTTCACCGGATATTACTCCATTTTTTTTTTCTGCCAGGCGACAATTACATTATTATATTTTCTGAATAGCCCATTTAGTTCTAAACCGTTTTTGTATCTTATAAGATTTTGATTGCATAAGTGGTTAAGCCAGAAAAAAGGTATTTTTAAATATCTGCAAGCCTTGTTTAGGTCCTTGCAGTTACAAAAGTTACCTCATCGTAGTTGGCACTGATTTCAACTAATTGCAATTTATGTTTAACGTAAATACAATATCATTAATTGATCAAAAGCGTGGGCATTCAATGATCCTTTTTCGAATAAAATGGCAAGCTTTAGATTTCTCATTAATAGACTCTTTAGTTATCCTCTTTCCACAGTAAATCAAAATAAAGAATTGAATTTCGTTTTTGAATTGGCTAAACGTAATAACTATCCTATAAGAACCATTAACAATCTAATTAATAAAATTAAAGCACAACATGATCCTTTCTTTACGATAGATACACATAATAAAATATACAAGTCACTTCCTTTCAATCACTTCACTTTATCACTTAAAAAAGTCTTTTCGGAATATAATATAAATTTAACTTTCTGTAATAATAGCACCATTCTGAATTTATTATCTAATTTTCACTTTAATAAATACAAAATACTTAAAGAATGTGGAGTTTATTCTATCACTTGTTATAATTGTAACAGCATATATGTGGGAAAAACAGGACGAAAGCTAGAAAACAGAATAATAGAACATAAAAGTAAATGCAATTCTAATGTATATTATATAAACATACGGTAAAAACCTGACACAAAATAAATTATGAAAATATAAAACTTATTCACAAACGTGTTAAAGGTTTTTGCTTAGATCTTTTAGAAGCATTAGAAATTGCAAAACACAGTAAAAATAAAAACTACATCAGGTTAAATGATCAATTGGATATGAAGTTTACCCCTTTTTCAATGTCTAAGAAATATTTGATTTTATTTTTCTAAATCGTTTTCGTTTCGTTTACCTGTTTCTATCTTGGCATGTGTCTTTCATACAAGTTTTAAAGGTCTAAAAAAAATAACGCGCAAAACTGAGTGCCTTGTATATATAAATTGCGATTAATTTTGGGAGCTTTGCTCCGCGTGAATTTGAAGGGTACTATTTCGTTGCGTCTTAAATCGAGACTGACTGAATGACTGATACGAGTTGAGCTCGCAGGCTCCTTCTTTATTTAAGATCATAACCAAAAAAACCCTTACCTAAAGACTTAAATATACACCCCAACGCATTCCCACACTTAACTCAAACAAACAAATAATGCGATAAAAACCCTAATGTTGCGGCTCGGGACACTTCAAATCCAGACTAAACAAATGAAATAAATCTAACAAATCTAATATAAATGAACTAATATAATATAAAATCTAACATATTGTACATTACGAGTAATGGATTCAGAAAAAGAATCTCTATCCAATAGCGTGAAGAAAAACATACCGAGCAATTTAAAATCAAAAGTTGATAATCGCTTGAAATTGAAGATGGCGTTGAAAAAAGTTTATTTGTAGCGTAAATCACAGTATTCATCAAACCTTTTCATTTGATATTTCGCTCATGAAAATCGGAATGTAAATGACAGAGTTACAGCTTGCGGCATTCTTGTGTGACAACCTGTATACAGGAGAATGCGTTTCAGGTTTTTGTAGCAGGACTTCAACAGTCGATAGATCTTTTTAAATTAACACAAAAACTTCATATAGATCGACAACCGCTTTGTTTTGGAGATACAGGTGTTTAAGTTAAATTTTTTAATTGATTTTTATTTAATATTACACGTGTATTTCAATCGATTCTATTCAAATTTGATATACGGAGGTTTTTTGGCATGAGAAAGATGAGTATGGAGTCCGCTTTACTATAGCCGGTAAAGGGAATACGCTCTGTAACGTATTTTTTACGGATTAAAATAATAACTTTTCTAACAGTATACTTTTCGGCTTTTTGAATAAAAACTCTTATTCTCTATACATTTTAAGTAAAAAGGGTACTCTTATCAAAATGCGCTAAAGTTTATCGTTTTCAAGATAATCCGCTTTTTATTATTCGATACAGACCAATGTTTTTAGAGGGTAGTTAAAGATAGTTAAAATAATGTGTGCCATGGAAACAAAGTAGGTAAATTAACTAATGTTTTGGTTAGCACTAGGTAGCACCTCGAGTTCTAACGAAAATGATTAAGGCCCAAAGCCGTAAAACTAATATTTAAGAAACTGTGCGCGATTTTAAGTGTTCACATTGAGATTTCGTAAATGTCCCGGAGGGGTGAAAATTTTGAAACGTTCCAGGTGTTCTGGCAGGAGTTCTGAATAGCACCTCACGAGTTCTAAAAGATATTTTAATAAAGTTTTTAGATACGTGCATTCGTTTAATAGTTATTGCAAATTTTGTGATCTCGTTTTGTGAACTTAGCACCCCAAAAAGTCGATATCGATGTTTTTGCCTATTTTTGCGGAACTTTTAATAAAAATGGTAGAGAACTATAGAACTCAATGGGGTGCAATGGGAACTCAAGAGAAATTTGAAGTTTTAAAAAAATGAGGTGCTAACTTCACAGACGTGCTA